TCTCTCTCTCTCTCTCTCTCTGTATTCCATATACTCTCTCTTTCCATCTTCGCACGACAACACCAATTCCGCGCGGAATTGGAGCTCGCCGGGAATACTTGGGGTATTTCGAGGCACGTCGGTCGCGAAGAAAATTCAGAACGCTACGGCGCAGAGAGACCTCCCGTAAGACAGCCGTGGTATTTCCTCGCGGGAGAGTCAGCCGCCGTATGCACTGGGGTTTCGCATGATTATTAGCACCATCGCTGTCCACGAACGTTGACACACATCGCACGCATTCGCACGTAAGAGAACCCGAGAGATCATTCGCGACGAAGTGTTCAGCTTCATTCGTTGACAGACCGTAGCGAGATACAGATAGGATAGAGGATAGAGATCTTCGGTAGAAAGTATCCGAGACAAGTGGCAGGGAAGAATAATTTTGTCTTTGTCACGCAAAGGTTAATAATTAATTTGCAACATATTTTCGCATTACTCACGAATTTATCACAATTACAACTTTCCCACGTTGCGATTAGTCTGAGGTTCTCTTACATTTTCGTTTTCTTTCTCTCTCTTACAGGCAGAACATTCGCGCTCTTGAAAACACGCTCATGCACGCACATGTATTCTCGCTCTTTCTCTCTCGCTCGCGTTACCGAGTTCGCCGGCGCGGTCCTTCGTCGTTACGTCGACGCGCGAAGCCGCTTGGTCTCCGAAGAACGTCTCGGAGGAATGCACATCTTGGACACGACACTCCGAGACAGATCCTTCGACATTAGCGCAATCGCCCGTGCGTTACGGTGCGGCTCGCGACACGCGTGACTTCGATCTCGCTCTTTCTCTCTTTCTCGCGCTTTCTCTCGTTCGTACATAGTTTGGAAACATGGAATGTCACGAAACAACGAAAAGATTAGTCGTTGGGAAGAGTCGAAGGGCCGCGCCGTGGCACGAAACTCGGCGATTCGCAGCTCGCTCGCTCGCGTGCGCAGCCGTCTCCACGTCGATACTTCTCTACATAATGATTACTCGATTAAAATACGCATAATTCCTAACATCACATGCTCTGGCTTAGAAAATATGTGTAGCTGCGCTGGGAAGGTCCTCGAATTCTCGCGTATCTGAACGTACACTCGACTCGCAGACGTCAGGCGCATAGAAGTATTTTTTTTCCTTCCTTTACACATGTGTAATATGTATATGCGTGTGTATATATTTATATGTATACCTTTACAATAATCATTACTGCATTATATTAGATTCTCGTAATTATATTATGCGTGTAAATTATGCGATTACGTTATGATTGATTACAGTTGAGTGGGGTTCGCAAAAGAGATGAAGAAGGTAGACGAGGATGCTGGATGAAAAGGGAGCGAGAGGGTGATTATCTGAGAACATCGTGTTACGTGATGTTTCCTTTTCTCCTGCTTCGACACACACGCTATTTCGCGATTATTAAAACTCAAGCAACACACGACTGGACAGTAAAAACTAGCTTAAAAAACGTCGTAAGCTGACTCTTTGGAGAATTTTGAAAATGTCGTAGAGTTGATTGTTCGGTCCCGGGACTGCCGTTCTGTTCTTCTGTTCTCACACGAGCGGCCGTTGTATCATTGACGCCACGATCGGATATCGCAGCTTGTCAAGGATGCGCGTAAGAAGAAACACTCGAGAGAAAGAGAGAGAGAGGTCTTCTCGGCCTCGAGCTCTCTCGTTTATTAGTTTTCTTAGTTTTAGCTTTCTTTTTCTCGCGGAACGACCGATCATGTCGACTGGAAGAACGACGCGCGTTAGTATTTGTTATGATCGAGGAAAACAGTAGAACGCGCGCGCGCGTTAAACACCGTGAGCGCTGATCCGTCTTACACCTCCCGTCCTATTCTTTTTCTTAATTGTTAATCTCAAATACTCGCTCACGCGCGAGTAAACTATTTATTTCTAATCTTTCTCTAATCGATAAGTTCGATTACGCTCTGAAAAAAGTCAACCCGTAAGAAGCCTGCAACTTCTCATTTGGACGCGCGCGTATAAGTACACATTCAATGTAACGTCGCTATGCCCGTTACAAGAGATACACGAGGAAGGGGCAAGTTTGTCGCGAGACGATTTGTCAAATGCACCGTACAAACCTGACCAGTGACGTTACGATGGTCTCAATGTCCGTCTCTCATTCTCTCTTTCTGTCGGTCTCTTTTTCTCTCTCTCTATTTTTCCTGCTCTTTCCTCTCTTATACTTTTGATTACCTTCTCGAACATATTAAGTACACAACGCCGGATTCCGAGAGAGTATTTCGGGCTAGGTCGCGAAGTCCACTTTGTCCCAGGTCATTGGTAAATCCGACGACATCTTGAAATCGGAGTCCTCCATATTGAAGAGATCAAAGGGATACTGACTGCTGCCTAACAGCGGATCGTAGATATCCGTAGCGGACGAGAGATTGATCGGCGGAGTCGATTGATGGTTGGACAACACCGTGGAAACGGGCGGCGATTGCGGCATCAAAGAATCCAGCCAATCGGGATCGTCCATGTCCATCGGCATGTCTCCGATATCCATCAGTTCTTGAGGAGTTTCCATTTTGACTCCCAGATCGCAGTCCAACTGACCAAAGTCCATCGGATCCAACGTCTCCAAATCCAATCCTAATTCCTGAAAAAATATTCACTGTTTTAGATTTAAACTAATTTTTACTCGCGATTTATTTCACCGGCGGAAAATTCACGTTTCTTGACTTAGAAAATATCCACAAAGAATTAGAATTTATGTTATACGATTATGTAATGTTATGCCACATTGTATCTTGATCAATATACAAACTACAATTTTGTTAGTTTCAATAAATCTCTCTTCTCTCTTTGCGGAAATTTACTTTGAGATCTAAATTCGCGTTGTCCGACGAAGTCACTTCTTGCGGCGGTTGTGGGTCCGGGGATGCTTGCTGCACTGACTGCGGACTAAGCAACATTGCGGCATCAAGCTCAGCCTCGGACGTCAGGAGATCTGTGCTGAAAGACGAAATCTCCTCCTGTTGTTGCTGCTGCTGTAACGTGGTAGGTAACTGAATAGAGAACGTCGCTAGAGGTAAAGGCGGTGGAGGCGGCGGTGCCGGTGTCGATGGGCTCGGACAGGTGCTCTGAGACACCTCCATCGGTATCGGACTGATCGGGCTCATTGGACTCGCGGCAGTGAAGACCAGAGACTGCGTTGGACTATCCGCCGGTGCTGTAAACACCAGGTTCTGTTGCAGTTGGCGATTCGGGGTCGTAGGAGTGGCCGGATCTTGCGCGGCGCTTGGCGGTAGTTCGCCATTTTTGATGAGGATTTCGAGGACGTCGTCGACCACTTGACTTTTTATGTGACTCTTCTGAACTGGCTCGATTTTGACCTGCACATATGAGGTTAACATAAATTATCTCGTGTTGTCTAAATTTCTTGGAAATCAATCAAAACGAGCGGAAATTCACTCAAAGCGATAATAGAAATACTCGGAATCACAAGAATGTATGTTTCAATCGAGTGAGTTTTGATCCCATACACGTGAATCTTGCAGTTGATTAGAATGAATTTGTTCCTATGAAGATGGAATATATTATTAGATTCACACTTTAATTTACAGTGAAAGTATTCACTTGGCGACTCAGAGCCAAGTATTCATTCTATATAAGCGATCACTCCTTATTCCTACTCAACTGACTCAGCTATCACTCTACTTTTCGAGTAAGATTTCATTCCAAAGAATTTAAAGAGTAAAATATAACTCATTATGTATTACAATTATTATAAAATTTATAATAACATATTTTCACGATTGAAAGTATGATCAGCAATTACCTTCAGCAATTTGGCGGCTTCATCGTATTGCGGTGGCGGCGGCGGTTTGCCATCCTCAGTGGTGGTAGTGGTCGTTTGCTGTTGTTGAGCTTGCGCTTGTGCCACAAGAGCACCGAGCAAGGAACCATTCAGCTTGGTCGGCTTTGCCAAATTTAAAACGATTGCCGTGGGTATCTGGACAGTGGTGCTGTTCTTTGATTGATTTTTCTTGTTGTTAATCGCGGTAAGAGTTGCAGAGTCGAGAATGGCGGTCGCGTTGTTCGGCTGCGCCTGTAGGAAAGCCGCGAGACCCGCTTTTGCGTTGAGTTGCTGGAACGTGGCGTGTTGTTGCTGCGTTTGTTGTTGCTGCGACTGCTGTTGGTTCTGTTGTTGCTGCTGCTGCTGTTGTTGTTGCTGCTGCTGTTGCTGTTGCAGGTGCTGAAGCTGCTGCAAGTGCAGAGCCAACTGTTGCTGCTGCATCTTGTTTTGTATATGTTGCTGGAGCACCAGCTTCTCGGCGCGCACCGTGGCTGGCTGTGTCTGACGAATTTGCTGCAATTGCTGCTGCGACTTGTACAATTCGCGCTGTAACTCCTCTATCCGTTTCCTCTGTTCCTTGATGATATCATCTCCTGAAACACGAACTATGTCGTAAAAACACCCACGTGTGTGGTCTCTCGAAGAACCAACAGCCTCATCGTGCCATCGCCTCTCCTCGCGCTTAATCCAACGAGGTGGATATCGAGATGAGACGTTTTACCTGGCGGACTTGACGGGTCGTCATGCTCACTGCTGTGAGGCGATGCGGTGCGCGGACTATTCGGTTCGTCTTTCACGGTAGAGCTCGGACTCTTGGCTTGCGAGCTGGATTCGTCCGTCGTCACCAAGCCAGGTGTGTCCATCAAGATGTGACCCATGTGCGTCACGTGCGGCCCGTTGGAATTGGAAGTCAAATTACCGCTAGACGACTCGGTGAAGGGCTTTAATCGCTCAATCAACTGCGGCTTCGAGCCCGACACCGGCAAATTCCGTCGTTTCAGCTCTACTTTGAGGTCGCTCACTGCAAACCGTAATACGTAATGAAATCACCTTATTGTAATTACTTTATTATCTGCTTCTCTCGCAACAAAGCACTTTTTATGTTCGCGACATACGACGTGTGCGACTCTAACGTACCTTTCATGTCCTCCAGTTTGCCCAAGGGCCTCAGCGGAGGCTGCTCCGACGGATTGTTCGAGGAATTCGAGGGTGCCGGGCTGGCGGCGTTCGCACTGCTTCCGCTCACGCTACCAGCGTCGCTCGCGCCGCTGCTTGTGAGCGACAGTGGCTTCTGCGCTGCCGGCAAGATGATCTGTGGATACTGAAGAGACAAAAAAGAATGATGAAAGATCTTTGTCTTTTATGGTGAAATATTTTGTCGCACGTCAAACGCGCGATAGAGCAAAATCAACACTATTTAACGGAAAATTAGGAGAATTGTATATTGATTAATCTAATTAACAGATCTCCATCAATAATTAAAACAATAAAGGTGCAACGTTGTTGCGAAAATTTGATATATTTTGCTATAAAGCGCGCATGCATCAGCAAATAGGTGCTATCTAACATTTCTCCAGGTATAAGGTACTACCTTATGCTGCCATTCGAGCTGCCATTGCAGGAATAGTTGCTGTTGCTGCAGCAGTAGCTCGTAACTGGTCTCGCCGGGTGGCGCCGCACCGAGGCCGGAAGTGCTGGACGACACCGGCGTCTTCTGCGCGTTCGGCGGTCCCTGGCGAGAATCATTACGTAAATCGTGGGTGAAGCATACAAGAAACGCACAAACGCACGCGATTGATGATCCCTAACAGTCGTGCGCGGTGGCTCAACAACGGCGCATAAACTGCGCCTTTGTGCACCGCGCCGTGCTTTACGTAACGCGTGCGATTGGATGATTCGCCTCGAATGTGTTTCCCGACATCACTGTTCGCTCGCGAAGGGGCGATCGCACGTACGTAGGTAGGTAGGTAGGTAGGTAGGTAGGTAGGTAGGTAGGTAGGTAGGTGACGTAGCTCCGGTTTCGCGAGCCGCGCGAGTGATAAATGATACATCAAGATGTTTTCTGCGCCCTCATTTGCACGCCCATTCCCGGCTCGCTTTCACACCGGCCACGCTACTATATCCCGAGTATTTCGGGCCGTGCACTGCTCCGCGAGACTGGCCCGGGCTGCTCTCGACGAGATTCGACTTCGCTCCGCTTCACCTGGCTCGACTTGGCGTCTATCGGGGCCCGAGGGAGACCCCGCGGCCTGTTCTCTCGCAGTCGTAGTCGGCCGCCGCCACCGCTCCTTGGCTTCCTCGCTCTTAGGTGCAATTAGCGCTCGAATTACTCAGAGCTAACGAGATGGAGCCCCGGGCCCCTCTCGGGAGATCGCGAGAGTTAATCACCCGATACGATCTCCCTCCGAGACTCGGAGGTTGCCCCGCTCTTGCCGCCGCCGCCGCCGCCGCTGTGGTCCACAGGAGCCGAGATTCACGGTTCGTGCTTCGTACCCGTTTTTACCTCGCCTTCTTCTGCCTCCTCCACCTCCTTCCTGCGCCTCGCTGTCGCTCTTCTTGTCCTTTTTGCTCCTCTCGTGGCCACGGCCGAAATGCGGCCCTCCGTTAGCCCACACCGACCCGGCGCTCCGATGCAGGAACTAGTTTGTAGTGCCACCCGGCGGTCCCAAGTACACGATAATTATCGCGCGCCTCTGTATACACTGCGGTCGTGTCTCGTATCGAAAAATACTTTGCACCTCGTGCACCGTGCTGCCCCTTGGCCGAGACTTTTCGGCGATTCGCGAATTCAAGAATCACTCACACACACACACACAACAAATAATTCAATACTATTAGCTAAATCACAGTAGCTGATTCCAACTTACTTAAAGAAGTAGCTAACGTTTTGCTATTATCGCTGACTTGGCTATTTCCAATTAAATGTCTTCACTGCGAGGTACAAATTTGTTGGTTGAATTAGAAACGCGAATTGGCACAAGTAAGACAAGTAGCCATTTCTAAGTATCTTATCGTATACACGTACTATAATTTGTTTTTAGTGAGTATAATAATAGTATTTCTTACTATTTCAAAGCAAGCTGCCACATCTTGATTCCTTTCGCTAATCCTTTCACCGCAAATTTAACATTGGAGGGTAATTTAAAAGAGATTCTGCTGTTCGGGTAATATATAGAGGATATTTGGGGTACACGAGTTCTTAAGCGACGATAAAAATACCGCGTATTATTGCCACGTGACAACGATCGCGCTCGGAGATCCACGCGCGAAGACGCGAACAGTGATGTCGGTATCTCGATGGCGCTCGAGAACACTCGATAATTGAAAGCTTAACGCTCCGCGTGATAAAATCGATTCTCCTTTCTGCGGACGAGAATGAACAGCATCATTCTGCAGACTCGACGGATATAAAAGGGCGGAGAGAGGCGAAAAGAAAACGACGACGCGAGCGTCTCTATCGCTATCTCTCTCTCACGCTCACGTTCGCTCTCGCTCTCGCCGAGTGTGTGCAAGTCACACAGAATGACACGCCTGTTCTCGTGGTCGCCGCGCGTTGCCGAAATGTTGACACAATAAATTGAAAGCGAACTTACTTTGTACTCGTGGAACTTGATCGTGCGGGTCTTGGGCTGGCTCTTGGTCTTCGACTTCTTTCTGTTCTTGTCCTTCCCGGGGGCGTCGCTCCTTTGGCACGTGGTGGCCGCGGCGGCGGCTGCGGCTGCGGCCGCGGCTGCTATCGGACTTGGCTGGGGTCGCGGGGTGATCGCCGCCGGCGGCGGTGCCGGGGGCGAAGCTATCGAAATGTTGGACAGGGGGCTCAGGCTGGACGTCGTCGAGCCGAGAGACATCGGACTCGGCGCCGGCGCCAATGGCAGGAGGGTCGTCGACGGACCATTCGTCTGGCTTGCCTATTAGAGGGAAGAGGAAGAAGGAGGTCGCTTTATTTTTTAATCTGTTCTTTTCTTGCCTTTTCTTCACGTCGAAACTCCCGCAATGGCACGGTATAGGTCGAGCCACGCTACCAACGCAATTGCGCCGGTCGCGGCGATCGCGGGAATCGCGTCGCGATTAATCTTCGTTGCGTTCGATCGACGAGCTGTTCGTCGCCACGGACAATTTGGAGATCCACTTGGAAAAAACTAATGTAATTTTCTCATTTGTAGGGAGGTCCAACAGCGTCACTTAGTCGCATTACTCGATGACACATTTACCGTAAATAGATTCTGGAGTGTCCGTAAAATACGCAAGGAGCTTCTTAAAAAGCATGACAGTTCAAAATCTACTGATAAAAAGTTTCCCAGAGAATTTGTAGAGTTTTCAAGTATCATCTCAACGACGTCTTTTGGATATTCGTGTGTCGTTTGAGTTAATCAAAAAATTCTTTGTCGCAATGGAAACGCCAAGTTTTATCTGGCGATGATAGGTGCAAATTTACCTGCGTAGACGTGTGCTGCTGGCTCTGCTGGGCTTGCTGATGCTGACCCTGCTGTTGCTGCGTGCCCACGACCGTGTTGCAGAGCTCGGCGAAGGTCTGTATCGTCGACTCCGTGGACGTCTGCTGGAAGACCGGGGATGTCGATGAGACCACGACGGCGCCGCCGGTTGTCGGTATGCTGAGGGAAACCGTGACGATGCCCGCGGACGCCGCCGCGGTTTCGAGGACGTCCGATCGCGATTCCAGCTGAGGTGAAGGCGCACCCTCCGAGCTTTGGGAGTCATCTTCGAAGGTGATATAGTGGTCCGGATGCTGAGGCTTCGTTACCTGGCCCTCACAGGTGGCCTTGAAGGGAATGTGACCCTCTGGAGGAAGAGTTTAATCGTGGACAAATTGCAGAGATCAAAACTTTTGTTGGTGGGAGATTTCAAAACTTGAATTAGTCGTATTAACGATGAAACGCGATGACGAACTTTCCGTAATTAAAATCGATGATTCGGACTCTTAAGTTTTCAATCACGAGAAATTAGAGACGATAGGAGCTAGACGCAGTCTTCTTCATGATTACATAACATTTTGTGTGTACAGCCTAAATACAGTCAGTATGTGTATCTAAATATTATTTTTCGTCTATATCTACGTTGAAATATTATTTCATTCCAGATGGCATAATTTCAGCTCGATTAATAGCACGCTAAATAAATATCTCGTGCACAGATGAGAGGGTTTATCGAAGAGGGGGGGAGAAGAAAGAGACGTACCTTTGACCGCCCTCTCGATGGGCTCTTCAGTATGAAGGATGTTCTTCTGGATGAGCTCGAGCGGACCGGGTCGATGGCTGAGTTGATCGTTCAGTTGATCGGCGAGCCTGGCCTTCTTCAGCATCCGCTGCCGTTCGGCCAGGCTCGGATCCACGTGGCCCACATCCTCGAGAATGTGCTGCCTGACCAGCTCGTCCCTACCCGGTCGTTGCTGGATCTTCGCCTTCAGCAGATCCCCCGTTTTCGCTCGCTCCAGCTGTTTCCGTTGCTCGTGGAACGCCGGGGGCGTCTTCAACGCTGCGTGCACGAAACAAAATATTTTTGTCTCTCATGTCGCGTCATGATATTCGCCCTTTCAGGCGCGATTAATCTCGATTAATCTCGAGCGCGACAATCCGTTGAAATATTTCGCCGGGCGTGCCTCCGACGTCAACGCAACGATGAGATCGCGGTAATCGCGGCGGAGACCGAAACTGTCGCCAGCTATCCATAATCGATAATCTCCCGTTAATCGAGCGGGATTTCTCGCGCGGAAAAGTCGCGGCGAATCGGCCGAGAGAATCTCAGGCGATATGGCGCGCACACTGCGAGCATCAATTTCCGGGATGATGACCCTCAAAGGCGTCCGTATGGCGCCGTTTTCGTGTCAACGTGACGTGTTCTCTTTCTCTCTCTCTCTCTCTCTCTCTCTCTCTTGCTCTGGCGCGTACACATTCCCTAACACCATTAAGTCGCCGGATAAATGATCCCCGAAGCGCGATCCCTAACCACTATTTCCGGACGCGGATGCTGCCCGCGGACGGTGCAGACACGGCCGCGTCATTACGCGGAATAAAAGGCATGTACCCACCACCTACGGCCCCGATGTGGCAACGGAAATGTGAAAATACACGAGGCGCCCTGGTATTTTAACCGCGTGCCGTAAGTTTCCATCCGCCGTCGTGAACGGGAGAGCGCGTTCTCTCTTTCTCTCGTGAGCGCGCACGGCGTTTCTTTTTCATTCTTTTCAGCTTTCTGCTTTATTTTCCTCTTTTTCGGCGAAGCGAGCTTCGAGATTAATCGCGGGTATAATTCCCTTGCGCGTCGTTGTGACCGCGAGAGAGACGCGGCGCGTTTCCTCGGATATTACTCTTCGGCTCGTTACGGAGGATTTACGACGCGCTCGCGAAGGTACGAGGGGCCACGTCGAAAAGTGAAGAAACAGGGGACTGCTTCTTTCTCGACTACTCTATCCAAGAACGAAGTCGAGGAGAACGAAATTGAAGAGACGAGAACGACGTTTACGATTTGTAAAACGTGATCAGCTTAGAAATTTTTCCTTCCTTCGCGATATTTCCGCCCCGCGCCGGTGTGGAAACGTCGTCGAACGTTTTGGCTTCCTCTCGTTGCGAAAGCACCGTTACTCCGTTCCCTCTCGAGATGTCAGCAGCGTGACGACGTATACCAGCAAAACGACGTCCGACGACGTCCTTGCGACGCCTATTCTAATCTCAGACGAACTGTCTGAGGGACGCCGTTAATTCGCCGCAATAAACGTCGTCTCTTCCGCGGTTGGAGTAAGCTCAAAATTCAGAGAATAAAATAAGAGGCGTGCTCTCCGTACGACGACTGACATCCCCTTGCGAAAAAAATTCCGGTCTATTTGCATTCTCTCGTTGTACTCGCGCGTATTACGGTCGATGCATACGTGCGAGGTGACGTACGGTACGACCTGGCGCGCATCTCGTCGCCGAAGGCGAAACAACAAATTTCGCGAGCACTCCGTATCGCGGTGGACTCGTTATTGCGCAATTTCATTCAATTGGACATCTATACTTCCTTGTATATCTTCATTCTCGAGTGTTTCATCGAATCTTTATCAGGTAGTGCCACGATCGTGTAACACAATAATTTCAAGTAATAATTAAACAGATTGCACCCGTTCATAAAACAACCCGTTATATTAGTGTAATTTTGAACTTTTAATTTTAATCAGCGTAATTTTAATCAATATACTGCTTAAAATGATGCACGGCAAAATTTAGTGAAACTCTGCACGAGAGAACGGTGCGAGATTAAGATCGACACAATTTTGAAGCAACGCGTCGGGAATGCGTGCCGAGCGAAACGTGATAATGCCGCGCGGCACTTTCCTGGTTCCGAAAAACGCTTCGTAGAACGGCGTCAATTTGCGCATGCAAATGGATTTATAACATAACACAAGCCAGCTTCCGCGAAAGCGACTATTATTTCGGAGCGCGGATGCACGAGAAGGAGGCGGCGGCGGCGGTGTCGAGGGCTCGACGCCTCAGAGGTTGTAGATGAATGAATCGCCGCTGGTATGGAAATGTAACACGCGGCTTCGCGTAATGCAGGGCGAACGAGGGCTATCAAACCCGCGTATTTTCATCAGGCGATATATACCGGGTGCTATAAACGCGCCGGCGCACCGCGTCGGCCGGTAACAAGAGCAATATTTTAGGGTGTGACCCAAATAATTACTGGATGCCCGTGCTCTCGTTCTGGTAAACATTTGGTACCCGTCGTAAATCTACCGGGCAACTAGACTGGCTGCTCTTTACACGGCTGCTCCGCCGATCGGCTTCGGGGATTTCGGGCCGCGCGAACACGACGACGCACGCCATACGCCGCGAATGTGCTCCGGGACTTCTGTTGCTTCATTTACTCCGCGTGTGTTGCCTGAGTTTACTTCGTCGTGCTCCCACTGCACGATGACGTCAATGAGGAAGAGGAGCCTTTGAATCGTTCGTTGCAGAGAACGACACGCCGTGGAGGAGCGGGAAAAAAAATTTATCACGATATATCTTTCTCGCCGCGAACGTAAACAAGAAGCTAATGAGCTCAATTTAGGAAGTGTGTGCAAAATAACTATAATACCTACCCAAAAAATAATTATTGAACAATCATAATAATTGCTTAATAAGTAGGATAATTACATGATACAATTACTTAATAAGCTAACTCAATAACGGGAATCGATTCGCGCGTGACAGCTGATTAAATCGCTAAACGATCAATTGGTCGTCTCGAGGGCGATCCGACTCGCTCCGAAAGCACGCAAAAACGCTCGGCTGATGTAAAAGCGATTAACTCAATTCATCGCGGAGCAATTTAACACGGTTTAGAAATGTCCTAGACACCGATCTCGTGTGTTTCTTGAGAACGTTGCGACAATTAACTCATGTCCGCACTGGTCGATCCCACGCGCTCGGGAAGAAGTCCATGGAGGAGTCTGTGAAGGCTAACGCGAAGAAAGCTATGACGCTCGATGACGGTCGCAACGTCGACGGCGACGACGAGGGTTTGACGGCCCTTCGCGGTATGTGGCGGGCGCAATTTTCCGCGGTGCGAAGAGGAAGAGAGAAAAACGCGCGTATAAACGGTATAGTAAACAAGCGGATCAACACTTACAGGGCATGATGCCTTGCGCAACCAGCTGATTGATGGGTCGCCTCAGCATGAGCTTCACCTTCAGCGCTGCAACAGAAAAAGGGTGCCGCCGATCATAAAGTGCGCCTCCTTAGTTACGGGGAAGAAATTAGGGGCCAATTCGAGAGGGGAAGAGAGAGAGAGAGAGAGAAAGAGAGCGAGAGAGTGGTTGCTTCGTGGAACTTTTATTCGAGCGAGTGCGTTGCACTCTCCTCGAGTCGAACGAGAGGAGTCGAGGAGGAGGAGGAGGCGGAGGGCCGCCGCCGCCATCGCTCGTGAAAACCTCCCGTCTCTCGACGGCATCGCTCCAATTTCTGCGGGATTTCCGCGGAAGAGTCGCGACAGCCGCGAAATCTCAGGCGAAGACTGCGCGAAGCTTCTATAAAAATCACGGAGATCAAAGTCAATCGTTTCGCCCTCACTATGCGCGAGTTTCTTTCCTGTTGCTGTTATTTTCCCCTCGCCGCATACCGCGTGCCTCTTTCTGCTCCTTTTAGAGGCCGGTAGTTGTATTTTAGAGACGGCGGGGTTTGCTTGAGATTTTTATAACAGCACCACGGGTCATCAAAGTAGAGCGCGAAGAACGGAGAAACAATCTGGCGGGGGTTCGCGTTACTCGGCCCCCCAGCGAAAATCACGCTCCAAAACAGTCACACTACATCAATCTTATAATTCCCTGATCAAAAGCATAAGTACAATACGACGTATTATATGTAACAATTGCATTGCTAAGTAGTAAGTTATTACATTGATATAATATTACTGTTGGTTAGTATTTACTTAATGTTGTCATCTTTTTCCTTACTACTGATATGATTAGTAGTCAGACATCGATACATTCTCTGCACGAAGAATAACTGCAACTACCACCAAGTTATATTCATTCGCTTTTCCATATGGAAAAAAGATTTGGTTGAATTAACCAAACATCTGGTCGAATATAAACAATCCAGATATTCCGATTAAAGTAACCTGAATTCTGTTTAAGTTAACAAGATTCTTGGTTGACTTAAACAAAATTCGGGTTACTTTAATCGGAATTTCTGGATCGTTCATATTCGACCAGATATTTGGTTAATTCAACCAAACATTTTTTCCGTGCGCGAATAGGAATTGATAGACAGACAGATAGAACGGAAATCAGTGAAACGCGACGAGGAGACACGCTGAGGAGCAAAGGTCGGAGAAACGCGCAGAGGCCTCCCCGTGTACGCGCAGGACTCGGGCTACTCGGGTACAAATTAACACACAAAGGGCGGCCGGTTATAAATACTCGTACGGCGCGGGCCAGATTGCATAAATTGCCCGCGAAAGAGGAAGAACAAGAAACGCGGGCCGCGTACGGTCGCGCAATCTGAATTCAAAGCAGCCAATGTCCCGGCGAAACGCCTGGCGCACTGCCTTCGCAGCATAATGGCTCATCCGCGGCGGGACTCGCTGCTTTAGTGTGGCTGGACTCTCGTAATCGGGTTCAGCTCCCCCGAATCCTCGTCAACGAATGCTAAATCGCCCGACTCCCCTTTCGTCCCGTTCGAAGCAGCCTACGATCGTTTTGCCAAATTGTAACATCGCGCCGGGAGACTTCTGGAGCACCGTGTACAGCAACATCGTCGAACGATTATTAACTCTCAGTGTATCATCAGGCCCCATCGTTGAAATGAAGAAACTCAAATTTAATTCCCGAGTTTCTTCTTTGAGTTTCGACTAATTTGTAAAAATTGATACCTTTACATCCTTCGCCAAAAGAGGAAAGAGAACATTTGTTTATTCTTTTTAAAACTGAAATAAAACTCGTCCTATATTATTTTGGCTTTAAGTACGAACAGTTAAACTTTCAACATAAAATATATATTATACATATATTCTATATATATATATTTTTTGTTTTTAAATATCTCTAATATATTTTACATATTTTTGAATATATTCTAAAGAAATTTCTGAAATATATATATGTGTGTGTGTGTGTAATACATACATATATTCTATATCGTAAGTTTAAATATATTTAAAGACCAAAACACAATACGAATGTCTAGGATTAGTTACGTGTGTCCGGGAATTGGATATTTTTACCTTACCCTTTCTTCTTACACAGAAGAGAAAAATTATTTACTCTTCTCAAACCTAAGATAAAAACTTTATTTCGTGTTACACAATTATCACGTATACCGATGATCAATTACTCGTCGATGGCGAAGATGCTGAATCGATCGCATTGTCGCGTGTGACTTCCGCCGCGACTTATTTGTCGCACGCTTTCAATTATTAAACCACGTTAGTGGATCTTTGGCCACCTCGGAACCAAAAGCGCGTGCTCACTCGGACTTCGAACAACATTGTGCTTTGGCATAGAATCGTCGTCCGTGACGCCACAAATGAGACTCACCCGGAGAAATCTGTCGTGTCCCTTACGTAAACACCGCGTTCTATACCGAGCAAGACGAAATTAACGCGGAATTTGGTTCTACGTGTGTCTCGCTGGCTAGCGCCATTAGGCCAGATCCGTCGTGTCTCGGCGCGTATCCTCTTGCTTTCCACTACAAGCTCCGCTTTGACCTCGCGCAGTCTCACTTCGTTCCTCGCTCTCGGGATTGGCAAGATTAAAAACATGACATTTCTTGTCATTGTTCGTTAAAAGTCGCAGACCTTCGGCATAAACGCGGGCGCCGCGCGTTTCTACGAGATATTACACTGCGTGTACTTTACTGTGTACGCATATATCTTCCCGTGCGCGATTTCCAGGATCGATAACGGGGATACCGATCAGGAATGCTCGTTAGGAGATAAGATGGACTTAATCGCGATTAAAACGCGTTGGCAAGATGCTGTAGTAGCGTTTGCCTTGCACCTTGTACCAGCGACTATAATAATTCACCGCGGGGCTCGTGCGCGATTCCAAATCGCCGTGCTCTGATTATCGCTCGCCTATCGTAATCGCAATAATTCGCGCTAATTAGCGATTCCGTTTCGTCGAGTTATGTCGCTCATAATAGCGGCCGCGGGAGCGACCGGCGCGATGGGGAGAACGAGTTTCGCAGGGGAACTGCGAACATTACATCCAGAACAAAGTGTGCAAATTCGCCGAAGCGAGAGGGAACATTTCCGAGGAGCTGGCAAGTTTTCTTCTTTTCCGAGACGTCAAAACGTCACAGACGCCTCCCGCGAATGTGAAAATTCCCAGAGATTTCTCTCGTCTTGACGTTGGCTCCACTCTCAGTTTTCAACTTTGCAGCCAAACGACGGTCGACGACGATTCGGGTAGACCGCAGCGCGTTGCCCGCCGAGCGAAACGGAGCGGAGCCCGAAGCGAAGCGAATTCAGAGTGGAACGGAGCGCATTAGGAAGCACGAGGGGGAGGATAAGAGATGCGGAGAAGATGGATGCTAACGACCGTAGCGGCGCTAGCTACCGGGAGATACGCTGGACCAAACGTCGCTTCGAGAGATGCGGCTGGCCGACCGGTCGGTCGCTCGCTCGCTCGCTCGTCCGCTCTCTTCTTCCCTCGCGTGCACACGTGCATAGTTGCGCACGTGCATAGTTGTCCCGTGTAGCCAGTGGCACGGCAGCTTACGACTTCGTGGCTCGTGGCTGGTCGCGCGAATTCCCACCGTGTCTCGCATTTCTGAGAGCATCCGCCGTTGTTTCGCCCCGGTACGCCGGTTAATTTCTTAACCCCGCAGGCTCGCACACCGAGTTACGCGCGAAATCCAGTTTCAACACGCGGTAATCGTCGGCGATATGTGACCCGATGAAGACGGGAGAGAGCTGCTGACGCGATATCCGAGAAACTTGGACGCTGTGAAAGATACTCCAGTGTAAAATGCGTGGTAAATTGCGAGCTTATGGCAGAAAGGCATTAAGCCTTTAAAGAAGAGTATCTCAGATTGAATAACTTCGTCGTTAAGTATCTTCTTATCGAGGAGATATTTCGGTAAAGTACTCCCCGAATTTTTTCGAGTGAAATTCAACTCGAAGAGCGTGATATCCGAGTCACCCCGAGTTCTTCGTTCAAAATAAATTCGATATACTGCGTTATCGCGCAAGAACAAATTTATTTACTTATTTAATTGATATTTAAATTCACTCTAAATGATCGAAACTTCAGGCGATAGTTGAATTTGAGCTGTACTGAACTTCGTTCCTTTTCTCTTTAACGCTACTTGTGTCATCCTGAAGGCTACAAAAATGCAGCCTATCCCAGCTAAAAAGGGAGGACAGATCTACTTATTCTCATGATTCCGAGGGCAGGTATTTTTACCATCGTTTCGAGTGAATTTTCATTCGTCTTGAGTGAGACTTCACTCCAAGGAATTTAGAAAATATGAGAAGAGGTCTATCGTATGAGGATGATACGATAGTGCGTGTGATTTCGTGGGCTTTCATGAGGCAATAAAACCTTTTTAAACGCATTTGCTTCCGAGATGTCTCTGCCGATTTAAGGCAGCCTTTTATTACGCGCGGCTCGCGTACTCGCGCAAAAATACACGAATGATGAACGTGTCGAAATATCGCCGAGGTTGCTGGCCCCGCGATCTATCATATTCCGGTATCTCCAAATGTTTACACAGTCAACATAGTAAATTTCGCGGCAGACACCTTTTACGATTGCAATAAAACTCACGACGGCGGATATTGTATCAATATTACGCCGCCCGCGCCGTCTCGTCGATTCAAAACTAACTTGCGCGCGGACCTACTTACGCGCTCACGCGAATTTACGAACTTCACGCACGCATGCACGCACGCACGCATGCATGCATGCACGCATTCACTCACTCACTCACGCAACAGGGATATCGTGAAGCGTACTTCAAAGTAAATTCATTACCGTGCTCCCACGCGTTAGCCCGCGAGTCCATGTTAATTGCAAAGTTTCCGGATGCCGAGAGATATGGGAACCACGCGCCGCAAGTGAGTGAGCGAGCGAGCGAGCGTACGAACAAACGAGCGAGCGAGCGAGCGGACGAACATTCGCGCCATCCATAGAATGCAGATTTGCGCGGCGCATTCCTGGGAGGCGATTATGCCCGCGCGTACAGCCTTTG